AAAACCCCTACTGCCCACCATGAAAGCTGGAACTCCCACTAGTGGGCGGTAGGGACTAGGTTGACTACCACTGGTCTAAATCAAGCAGGAGGTGTGAGTCTGGGAGGACCTCAAGATTGTGCACTGGTTCTGTCTGATGCAAACCAGCCCATGCAGAACCAAAAATGACAAATCCCCAGGATTTATGCAAAGTAATTATCTTATCATGTTTTTATAAGACCCAACCTTTAATTCCTTATGTTTTGTTCTTCACTACTACCTGGGGAACACAACATTTTGCCATCTTCAACATACAACTGCTACACTGATTCTTTTTTTCTTTTACTTTAAACATATCTAAATAACTTTCTTCTTAGTATAATATGCCAACCATTGAATTTTAGCTTTCCTGCCAGCTTCTCTTGAGTTCTGAGCAGTGTATACTTTTTATTAATGACCTATTCCTCTTTCTACTCCTATATTTAACTCCATTTTCTAACAAAAGGATCAACTTTAGTGTATTCTATCATTTTTAATGTGAGTAAAAAACTATTTTAAATTTAACTCTGAGAAGTTAATTTTTTGATTTCAAATTTCCATGCAGGTTTTTCTTCTTGGCATCCTATATAGTGAAACTTGTTGCCGTGAGCATTAATAATAAACATGTCAATCTACATTCAAACAAATAGCTTCCCATAAGAAACATAAAATAGGTATAATTAAAACAACAGGGTTTTCTCCTTAGACACATGAGTTTAATTAAGCATTTTGTAAAGTCATTGAGTTGGAAGTGTTTCATATCTAATTGTTCAAATGTAATACAGAGTTTCACTGAAATTTTGATCTGGCAAACAAATTCAATTCATTCCTGTGTCCAAGAACAGATGGTAAATACAACAATCCAAAATTCAATCACCTATGATGTTAAAAATCCACAAATTTTATGGAAGAATGAAAAAAATAGTAAGTACCTCAGGTATTGATTGAATAGATTCTACAAAATTATCCAGTGCTGCTTCCCAAATGGCCAGTTTTACTACATTAGAGAAAAGCATAAAAATATATTATTCACATGAGCTACATTTCCAAGTTTTATCACAAAATAAAACATTTAAATTTGTATTGTCCAATGCTTGACAAGTAATGTTGATATGCTGATTATTTCTTTTAGACTTTAGAGTAGGTACAAGTTTCTGATTTTAACTTAGGGACAAGAATTTGTTCTCTATTAACCTGATATGTTCTTTTTGACAGTGTAATGTAAAAAACCCACCTTGCACAATACAGTATAATTTGCAAATCAAGTCAAAATTATTTTTTCAAGGTTTTTTTTAAATCCTGGCATAGTGTTTTATATGAACCTTTTAACCATTTTATATGAACCTACCAATTATTTCTCTGCTCTAAGTAACAACTATGGTGGTTAAAGGCCTGGAGACAAAAACATATGAAGAGTGGTTGCAGAAATTGGGTATGGCTAGTTTAGAGAAAAGTATGACTAGGATGACATAATAGCAGTAATCCAATATTTGAGGGGCTGCCACAAAGAAGAGGGGGTCAACTTTTTCCCCAAAAGGCAAGACAAGACACCAGAAGGCAAGACAAAAAATAATGGATGGAAACTAATCAAGGAGAGAAGCAATCTGGAATTAAAGAGAAAGTTTCTAACAGTGAGGACAATTAACCAGTGGAACATCTTGTCTTCAAAAGTTTTATATGCTTCATCACTGGAGGTTTTTAAGAAAAGACTGGAAAGCCACCTGTCTGAAATGATATAGGGCCATGATGGCAAACTTATGGCACATGTGCAACGGGTGGCACACATAGCCATTTGTTAGGGCACGCAATGTGTTGCCTTGTCAGCTTCAGCACGCCAGCAGATTTCAGCCTTCTTTTGAGGGAAGCTCCTGAAGCCTCTGGGAGGGGGGCTATTTTCGCCCTCCCCGGGCTCCTAGAAAGCCTCTGGAACCTGGGGAGTGAGAAAAAAAAGCACCAAAAGTGGGGATAGGGTGCTGGTCGCATGGGCACATGGGAGGGAGGACGCATAGCATTATGGATGTGGCACACCCACGCACAATCCCCCTGCCCTCCCCCCACTTTTCACACGGGAGCCAAAAAAGGTTAGCCACTGATATAGGGTATCCTGCTTGAGCAGGGGTTGGATTAGAAGACCCCCAAGGTCCCTTCTAGCTGATTGATAATAGCTTTCCTACTAAAAAAAGTAAAGATAAAATTTCTGCTGCCCCTATTCAAATCAAAGTACTCTATTCCCAATTCACATAAGATTCAAACATAAACCTCCCATTTCATGTCTCTTTCAGCCCAAAGGGAAACATTACTTTCATGATATTGTTTTCTACAAAGTAAGAATGCTTAAATTTTATGCAGTTTACTAAGGATAATACACTCTGTTTCTTCTGTTTCTCAGAAGTGGTTTGACATTGCCTTCTTCCTAGGGCTGAGAGAAAGTGACTATCCCAAGGTCACCCAACTGCCTTTGTGCCTAAAGCAGGACTAGAATTAACAGTACTAGTCTGATGCTTTATTCTCTTCATAAAAGTGGCTCTCAAAAGTACTATTAAGGGTCACAAGTCTACAGTAAAGCATAAATTATTTGCAATGGCATAATCTATGTACTATAAAATATTTTGTCTATCAAGATTCTCAGTCATCCAGTTGTATCGTGTTTTTATTTTTTGAAAAACCCAGTCGCCTTTTCAAAAATAATACTTTTGATATTAAAACTTTTGTTGTCATAACTTTGAACTTTGCAAAACACTGTTCATAGAGTAACTAATTTTGAACCAAGGTCCCTCAAATGAGCTAACCTACAGCAGGTGCCCAAAATCTGGCATCATGATTTCCTGAGGAAATAAAATTTGGAAAAGCTGTGGCTGCTTCAGTGTTATTGGCTGTTATGTGATCTTTATTTTGTGACAGTTAGTCTCAGAATCCCTTGCTCCCACTCCCACCCAGCAACAGTCCCTTACCTGCCTATTGGAGGGGGAAAGGGGAAGAGAGAAAGGAAGGGAATGGAGATTTCTGGTGTTCCCTGCCAAATTTACACAAGGAAACATAATGGGGAAGCCGGCAGAAAATTGGAAGTCCCTCCTGCTCCCACTCTTTATTGGCCCACTCTTGGTCATTCGTTTTCCCTGTTTAAATAAGAAGATATCTTTGAAGCAATGACCCAATAGGGCACAGGTTGTCTAGTTGGTTGGTTGGTTCCTTCCTTCCCTCTCTCCCTCTTTTTCAGTCAATAAGCAAGAGAAAGTGCTGTGAGACTGAGCAAATTGTTCAAAATAGTTGTAATTAGATGTTTCATGCAGAGTATTTTTGAGTGCCGTATACATTATAAATGCATTCATGAACTCCATTTCCTCCCAGATTTCAAATAATAATACAGATCATTAAATGAAATTATACGATAAACCGCTTACCAGAAAGGCAGAGAGCATTGGAAAAAGCAAACTTCTCTAAAATGAAATCATCCATTTCTAATTCTGAATTTATCAAGATTTCTCCTCTATGAAGTTTTGACTGTCCTCTACAAAAAAGATATGAATGGATTACATTAGGTTCAAGCAACTTCCTGCTCCCTCATCCGCCCCAGTCAGCATTACCATTGGTCTAATAGTGAATCAAGTGAGTATTAAAAGAACTGGTAGGACTGTGTAATAAAACATGAGTAGGTATCCTTCAGCTGATCATAAGAATACAAAAAATAAAATAAAATTTAGGAGTAGTTGATCTAACATAGGTCTTATTCCACATGTGAATTTTTATTTCTTTTATTGTATAAGTGAATTTCTGTTTCTTTCATTTTATCTTTTTTCATTTAAAACTTCAACAGTGCATATTCAATCAACATAAAAGTGGTAATACTTCGTACATAGTTGAGTGCGTTGGCTTGAGGATGCTCAAACAGAACACTAATAGTTTGTGGAAGCATAGTAAGGGCCAGTCTTTTAACAACTGGAATATGCTGACTGTCCTCAACTTATAACTACAATCAGGATCAAAATCTCAGTCATTGAGTGAAGTAGTCATTAAGCAAGATGTCCATGTAACTGCTTCACTCAATAATTGCAATCCAGCATTCCCAATTCCAGATGTTAAACGATCTCCTGGGTCATTGAGCAGATGGAGTGAAAGAGCTACCTGTGCAATGGAATGTGCAGCTGGAGGAGGTGGAGGGAATGTCAGCAATAGCTTCCCCAAAACATCACTACTTTCTTGTTTTACAATGGAATTGCCAATATTTTTTATGAAGAATTTTATGAAATACCTAGATGCTATGATACAACTTGTATATGAATATATGTTCCAGAAATAATTATTTGTCAAAATTTCTACCATTAGCCTGTGGCTTAAATGGAAAACTCCATGAGTTTATGACATTCACATACTTACTCTCCTCTTCTATAGCTGATCTCTTCATTTTCCCAGTGAACTAATGCAATTTCATAAGGTTGGATCTCATGTTTTTCCAGCTTCCGAAAAATATTCTTCATCTGGGAAACAGATTGTAAATTAAAGCTGCTAGGAAGTTCCAAAGATGCATTAGGTACATTTAGACTATTGACTAGCGTGCTCTCACTTTCTTGGAAGAAGAAAATTGTGTCAACAAGAAATAATAAGGAAAACAAGTTAGGTTAGAAGTTGTAAATTTGTGCCCATAAACACCCTCATGCATTTATTTGTTTATAACCCAGGTTATAAGAGCCGTGGTGGCAAAATGGTTAGACTGTAGCAATTTAATGGGTTTATATGCCGCCCAATCCCGGGGGGTGGGGGAGACTCAGGGCGGCTTACAAGTACGAATAAAATAAAATAACATACAGGGGGAGAACATAAAATAATACAAAACAGTTTAAAAACACAACATACATCCGGTTTAATTGGGGGTTGACCTGATTTGAGTCAGCAACCCCAGGCCTGCCGGAA